CCGCGAGAGCTGGCGTTAAACAATGGACGGAGCGGCACATGTGAGGCTGGCTGAGGGCACATTGGACGCGTCTCGGACGAAAATCGGTATGCGGGTTTTTAATCGGTATGCGGGGCAAAAAATTTTGCGATAAAAGTAATCGTTATGCCGGAAAAAATCGCTATGCGATGCCATCGTTTATGCGGGGTCCACTGTATATATATACACTGTATATATATATATATTAATATATATATATATATATATATATATATATATATATATAAATATATATATATATTTATTATATATACATACATACATACATATGCATTTCTTTTTTTTACCTCAATGGCTATTTCTGACCAAAGTAGGGTGACCCCAAAGGAGGAAACATATTCACCATCATTCATTTAGTCTCTGTCTCAACAGAAGTGTGCCGACATCACTGGTCAGATGGTCTTCTGAACTGCAACATCACTACCTCTTTGAATTCTATGTACTCAAAACCTAAACAATAACTTATTTATATTAGGTAAAAAGGACACAGATGCAACTAATGTGACAGTTTATTGTGGCAACGTTTCTCTCTCCAGGAGCTTTGTGAAGCTGTCAAAGCGCCTGGAGAGTGAATAAATTAGATGCATCTGTGTCTTTTTACCTAACATTTTGTTTTCAATTCTGCCAGTATTATTAGCTTCCTTATGATTCTAATTAACTTGATTATTTCTAATTATTTTTTGATGAGGCACTTATGAGGATTATTGTGACTCAGACAAACAATTATGACTAGCACATGCTGACTAATACAGTTGCTTCAGTGAAATCTTGGCTTCAACAGTGGTACAACAATACCGTTGCAGAGATGTATCTTTACTTTGCAATGCTAATGTTAATGTCACAAGCTTATAAAAACAACACATCACCATGTTTCAAGTACTATAACTTCTTGAAACACATCTAATACATGTATTATATAAAACTAGTTCACATAATGCTACTCATTGCAAACAAAAGAAATATGAAATACAGGTGGCCCTCCACATTCGCGAGTTCCACTTTAGCGAGCTTCGAACATTCACAAATGCCCAGCCGCCCAATTATATTTATGCTTCCCGCAAGTAAAGGATGGTTTGAAAGTTTGAGACAGTTCTCCCTGCACAACCTGAAGATGAGTGGAGAATCAGACAGTGAAGGGTTGTTGGAGGGCTTTGTGGCAAGTGTGTGTGCAAGGCTAGTTGGTGGTGAAGGGTTCGAGGACATGCAGGAGGGTGATGTGAGAGAAATGGTTGAAGAACATCCACTGGGCCTAAATGATGAAGAGTTGTTAGAGATTGTGCAGGCAGAGAATGAGGATGAAGAAGAGGAAAGTGTCGCTGAGGCCAATCAACCTCAAGCCCTCATCCTTGAAAACCTAGGGCAAGCGATGAGAATGACAGCATAGCTCAAACAATTTTTTTTACTACATAGACCCATCGATGTTTAGGGCTTTGAAGATGATGAACGACATTGACAGGAGCATAATTCCCTACAAAACTTTGTTTGTGGATATGAAGAGGAAACGGTCTCAGCTGCCCATTCACAATGTTCTTCACAAGGAAGCCTGCCACTACTCCCATTGCTAACTCTGACTCAAGCGATGTCGATGATCCACCGCCTATTATTGGCAGTGACCCTGGGAGTGAAGAGTTAGAATCCACACCCTATACTCATCAGGCCATGTAGTTACACTCCATATAATCACCTCCATTCAACTCTCATCAATAACTGCATAGCTAATTATCATCACCATCATCATTGTCCTTATCACAAGACATCAGAGTTTGTCTGCCTATCCTTACGAGTGGTGAGTGTTTTGTTTGTTCATTATTTGTTATTAAACCATGACATGTATGTATTTTATGATGTTTTCATGTGTTTTATGATTGTTCATGGTTCAATAGGTTAAGGAAGCAATGTTTGTTAGGCTAAGTAAATGCTATTATTATATTTCCCCCTACAATACATTTGTGCACCAAACATTTGCAAATTTTCAACATTCGCAAGGTTATTGATCCCCTAACCCTCGTGAGTGTGGAGGGCCACCTGTACTGTACAATCACACTTCAGCATCAATAAATTACAATGCAATATTTCTATGTGTATTTATACCACTGTTGCTGAAGTGATCATTTTCTGGTAACTTCAACACACCATAAAATCATAAGTTTTCTTTCAATTTAATTTTTTTTTCACAGTTCATGTAGAAAAACAGAGCTTTCAAATTTTAAGAATTTTTTTTTCAAAATTATGCCACACAAAGTTAAATTAAAAATGTATGACCCACCACGGTTAAAGGTGGTGATGGGACGATGTCAAAAATTTTGTCAATACCAATCCCAATGTTCCATTTTTGACCGATACCAATACCGATGCCATTAAAAATTAGCCAATACCCAATACCAATACTCAATTTTAGGCTAATGCCAATGCCATCAACATTAGCTGGTTGCTGCCAATACCACTGTTGATACTTATTAACCCTAAATTAAAGGGTTAATAGAGATCCGAATCCTTAGGTGCAAAAATCTCTTAGTCAATATAAACTGCATAGTTTCTAAAAGATAATGGATTAGGCCTGGTCATGGACTGGGATGCAGGGGTGCTGACCCCCCAAAACACCCTCCAGGTATCTGTATGTGGTTTACATAGTCATCATATCTCCAGTACTAGACTAGGCAAAGACTTACACAAATTCAAATGTCTGAGGAAATTTCTGCAATCTCATAATGCAAAGATTTTGATAATCCCAGATAAAAACTATAAAAATAATAAGAAATAATACCAAAACAAATAAACTTGACTGCAACACAGAATATCTACACATTAACATTCTATACAGCAACATAAAAAAATGGTATTTTTCTTATAATCCAGAAATACCAGTAAAATGTGATAGTTTTATATTAAACAAAAATGTTTTATTTAATGATGAAAAGATACTGAAGCAGTGCAAAGAGTAATTTAAAGCTAAAATTATTAAACAATAAAAGGCAGGCAGTGATGTTAAGTAACCTAAGGAAATACTGTAGTTGGAACTTACAAGCAGGAATACATTATCAAGAAAGAGAAGTCGTATATAATGAGGCTGAAATCAGAGGAAACTTCAGGACTTGAGGAAATCACTAAAGAGATGTTAAAAGACAGTGGTGTCAGTTAGAAGCAGACTACACAAAATGTTCTTAGCACTGATTTGTGTGTATCCTTATACTAATAACAATACACATTATGTTTGTTTATCTTCTAAAATGATGACTATGCCAGATGAATAAAATATGGGGGCAGGGGTAGCAAGAGCTAGTACAGACATTTTAAGAGAAACTAACTGGCTGAGAGTATTAATATGTATGGCAGAGTTGTAACTGTGTTAACCCTCAAACTGTCCAAACATAGATCTACATTCATATGCGTTGTGCTCCAAAAGTAGATCTACGTTTTTTTACATTTTTCAAATATAACAAAAAAAAAAAATGTAGATTGAAGTTTTTTTACACGCTTTCAAATGTAAAAAAAAAAAAAAAAAGAAGATCTACGTTTTTTTACATACTTTCAAATGTTGAAACGGAGATCTACGTTTGGACAGTTTAAGGGTTAATAAACTGACAAGTGTAGAGTAAGTAATACCAATTAGGTGTATGAGAAATTAGAGAGATTATGTGAACTAGATATTTTCTGTAAAGATCATAGCAAAAAATAAATGAAGAAAAAGTGGGTATCTGTAGAATGTAGTGATTATAAATGTTTTTGTTTTTTAACCCGTAAACGGTCCAAGCAGATCTATGTTCACAGGCGTAGTGCTCCAAAAGTAGATCTATGTTTTTTTTACGTATTTTCAAATATAACAAAAAAACAAAAGTAGATCAAAGTTTTTTTACACGTTTTCAAATGTAAAAAAAAAAAAAAAAAAAAAAGATCTACTTTTTTATACATACTTTCAAATGTTGAAAAAATGTATATATACGTTTGGACCGTTTACGGGTTAAATATACTGGCCATCCCTCATTTAGGAAGGACCCAAAAAAGAAGAAACACTTTCACCATAATTCATTCAATTACTGTCTTCCCAGAAGTGTGCTCACATCACAGTTCAGATGACCCTCTAAACTGCAACATTCCACCCTTCTTTCAGTGGAGGTACTCTACTCATAAGAATAAAACAATGAAAAGGAGAAATAAGAGAGTTATACAAGGAAGAATAAACAGATCTCTAGGTGCAATTATTACGGTGAGAAACACTGATAAGGTTGTGGAAACAGGATCATGAGACAGTGTACTCTTAATTATGACAAATTGAAGTGAAGCATAAAAATAGAATGAAATAACAAATTTAATTGAACTGAACTACTTAAGAAATGCAAAATTGTGTATGGAAGATGTAGGAAGCCTGGCCTGAGGTTAGACTGAGAGAGTAGAAGAACCATCAAAGCCAGTCACAGGCATTAAGAGAAGGTTAGTCAGTAATAAAACGTGTGACACTGTCGACTGTATCAAGTAAAATATTAGGGAAACATCCTACCTAGTGCAAAAAAAAAAGTGGGGAATTAAATATGAATAATTACCTCTGTGACATTAGGGGAAAGATAAGGCTAAATAACTGTTTAGAAAGAAATGCTGTAGGCTTCTACATTTTGGCTATCCCATTGGAGGGAAGTTTCAGGGAAAACCAGATATTATAGGTAAAGAGGGATAAACAGAAACCTTCACTGATTAATGATCAGTAGAAACCTGGATAAGCTGGGTCTCCAATTACTGTACCATAACATCTGCAGATAATGTGGTACAGGAAGTGGTCACAGATATTCTGTGACCAATTAAGGCTGGGTAATTACAGATTACTCTTTGCCATTAATCTCAAGTCAGTGCTGCACAAAAAGCTGTGTTAAAAACTCAAAAGCAAGCTTGTCCTGTTTGCTATGTAATTTTGTAAAAATGCTACTGAAACAAAATGAAAAATAAATTAAAAAATTAAAAATAAAAATTACCTTAAAACTGGGCACCACCTTACTCTTGCGATCAACTAATGGCTTTTCCTCAAACTTCTTTGCAAGATCAGACATGACATTTCCTCCAGCTCTGACTGGCTTCTTGTGTTTCTCAAGTGGGAGTTGGGTTGGGGTATTTTGGTTCTCCCATATGGCAGCTGCCTTGAAAATTTTTGACTGTCTCTTTGCCGAGTCTGTACGAGATGGACGATTTTCTGTAGACGATTCGGAACCAGCTCGACTTCGAGCCGGGGTTGATAACATAGATGACGACTGGCTAACATCTTTACTAGACACTGACTCACCAGCTGATTCAACATCTTTCTGATGAACATCACTAACTGACTCACTCTCTTTTTTTACATGACCTCCACCTACTTCCCCGTTGACCTGAGAGTCATCATATCCTGTTTTGACTGCATCAGGAATGTTGGACCCTTCTGAAAGTTTAATTTTATCTGCCGTCTCTTGCAAAATTTTTTCAGTTTTATCTACCTTAGAAATAGGTGTTGAAACTACTCTACTAATATCACAGTTTACTGGTGATAGTCCCTCTGCTGGCCTGATCTCAACATTATTTTTAGAGGATGTTTTTACTAATGACTTTGACTTGATTTTCCTCACCTTTGGTGCCTGACTGGGTGATGAAGATTTCTTTACAGTGTCCAGAGGCTGGGACGGTGCCCCTGTCTCAGTCTTCATAGAACTAACAGACTCCCTGGAGAGTGAAGAGTCTGAGGCTATGAGTGTGACATCATTTGAAGTAGAAGATCCAACAGAAACTGTGCTTGCGGATACTTTCGTAGGTCCTGAGGATATTACTGGTGTTGTGACTTGCTCAATTTCCATAGGTTCTACTCGATTAGACTGTTGAGAAACGCTCTCCTTGAGGTCGCTCTTTGCACTATTACTTCTACTTAATTCCATATCAATGGATGAAGAAGGTTGTACCTGCTCTACAACTTGGTCCTTGCACAGGGAAGGTTTCAGGCTTAAATTTTGCAATTGGTCCTCAGAAGTATCCATCTGTATATCGCTTGACTTATCCGTCTCAGCTTCATTATACTCGTAGCTTTCCCCATTTATCACAGGTGAAGATTCAATATGTGATTCACTATCTATCTTACTAGAAGTCTTTTCTTTTACTAATTCTTTCTTTTTTGTAATTTTTCTTTTCTCTATTTTATCATCATATGATTCTCTAGTAACAGAAGATTCTCTCTTTTTCACACTTATCTTTTTATCTGTTCTCTCACTTTCACTAATTTCTTTATCAGCTGACGGTTCTCGCTTTTTAACACTCTTCTTTCTTTCTGTTCTCTCACTTTCACTAATTTCTTTAACCACAGAATGTTCCCGTATTTTCATGCTTTTTCTTCTCTCAGATTTTTCACTTAAGTCACTACCATCGCCATCTATTAAGGGTTCACGTTTTTTCGTACTTTTTCTACGTTCTGAGCGCTCACTTTTATCGTGTTCTGAAGTATCTTCATCCACCGCTGGCTCTCGCTTTTTCACACTCTTTTTCCGTTCAGATAAGTCGCCATCTGGTATTGTTGGAGGTCTTCGACTACTTCCCAATTCTCCTGCATGAGAGTTTAGATCTGCTTTCCGTTCTTTTCGACTAGTCTTGGGGGTTCCTTCTACAGTCGATTCTCGCTTCTTTTTCTTTTCCATCATACCAGATTCATCAGATTTTCTCTTCTTCTCCTTCTCCTTCTTTTCCAATATTTTCTTTGCCAACAAAGCTTCAATTTCATTGCGGCTAATGGATGTAACTGCACCAAGAGAAGCCGAGCGTGCTGGAGCAACTGGAAGGGCATCAGGAGGAGGTGGAGGAGGCAACTGTAGTTGAGGGGGTGGTCGAGTCACCTCTGAGGTAGGCGGCGACTGCAAGGCAAAAATGGAATATGCTATTGGCGCTTTGTAAAATATTAAAAGCTACAGTAAAATAAAATATCTACAATCATAAAAAATAAAAATAAAATAAAATACAGACAAAAGCAAGATTAGCCACATAGATTCTAGAGACAAAAGACTATTATTCATAGCCATCACTTGTTATACAGAAGTCAAGAGGCCAAGAGCCTTAATTTTATTTGGAAAAAGAGTAAAATAAGTATAACAATAATAATTTAATGTAAAAGTGCAACTATGACAAGGAAAAAAATACATATATGGCTTTAAAGCATTTATAATATACATACTTCAAATCAGTAACTGTGCCATGAGGCTGCTTCACCTAATTCTTCTAAAATAAAGGCTCCTAACCTCAAGACCTTGAAGCCTAAAACTTAGTAAGAGTCACTCTGAATGGCAATAATCATGCCTGATATAGTTTATTAGTAATATTACTGATCTCCTGTTACTCACTCTCAAACTGTCATCATCATCAGGTTGAATAAGCATATGTTCTGAATTTATGTGCTTCGGGGCAAGCGACAGCAGTAGATCAAGGCGGACGGGGGTTTGGTTGGCTAAGGCCTCAGCTACTTCCAAACATGGTTCTGAAAAGCCTTCATTGACCCACCAGTGACAACAAATGTCCTCGATTGTGGCTCGTTTTGTAGCTGACACTGTGAGCATTTGTCGGATTAAGTCAGAGGCACCTGTATTTATGAAAGAGACAGAAAATGCTCTTATATTAATACTATCTGTTTGATGTGTATTTAAGTGAAAGAATACCTTGGGAACATTACTATATACATGATATTACAAACAAGCTATACATATTATGCTGACAAATGTATAAAAGAGACACATGTGAAACATTAGATAACTTTACCAAGGAAACAATTCATCCACTAGGATTGATAAAGCACCTGGTGGGCAAAGAGTTTTTGTAATAAAGTTACCTAACATTGCGAATGTCTCTTTTAAATATAAATTAATGATATTATACTAATACTACACCGTCTGCTTAAATGCTGAAAGGTAACGAAAGAAAAACATGTGATCTTTGAAAAAAATAGAAAGCAAAAGACAGACAAAAATAGAGAAATACGTAATTAGATTTACCAGAAATGAATGTGCAAGGGTGAGGAGAGAAACTTAGCAACAAACTGAGAATAACATTTCGCAAAAAGCCAAATCTGAGTCAAAAAACTTTAAAGTATGTCTGTACATCATGTTTACTCTACATGGCTAAATATCCAAATCTTGATACAGGTTTAGTGCTTGCCCATAATACAATAATACTCTAATATAAGTCTAGAGCATCCCAAGCAGCTGAATTATGAAATAAGTACTAAAAACTTCATAACTTCCTAAGAAAACCTTAACCCTTTCAGGGTTTCTGACGTACTAGTACAGCTTATGCACCAGGGTTATTGACGTACTAGTATGCCTAAATTCTAGCGCCTTCAAATCTAGTGTCAGAACAAAGATTGGTTATAAAATGATAAGAACTACTACAAATTGTAATTGTCAGAACATAAAAATTACATAAAATATGAAAAATAGAAAAAAAAAAGGTATATCGGCAACACTTCTGCAAGCAGCAGGACTCGATGTGGCTGTCACATGAGCATCCAGTGCCAACTTCTCAGCCTCATATCTCGGTAAGTACTGACCCTAAAAATTTTTTCATTCAAAAATACTTTAAAAAAAATGTGCTTTTTTTTCTATAAATTTTTTTTTTTTCAAAAAATATTCGGGGAGTTGCGCGAGTGAACGTATATATACGTTTCGACCATTTAAGGGCTAATACACCTACCATCCGACTTACGACCGAGTTCGGTTCCGAGAAACCGGTCGTAAGTCGAAATGGTCGTAAGTCAAACTTTACTACTGAATATCAACAAAACATTTTTGTAATGACTTCATTTTATTGTTTTATTTTGGTATTTCATGTTTTACTTTACTTTTTATGTTGTTAGTACTGTATTTTATGGTCGTAAGTCGAGTGGTCATAAGTCGAGCAGGTCGTAAGTCGGATGGTAGGTGTATGTGTATGAAAGAGGGGAAGTTACCTAAGGATTGGCAGAGAGCATGTATAGTCCCTTTATATAAAGGGAAGGGGGACAAAAGAGATTGTAAAAATTATAGAGGAATAAGTTTACTGAGTATACCAGGAAAAGTGTATGGTAGGGTTATTATTGAAAGAATTAGAGGTAAGACAGAATGTAGGATTGTGGATGAGCAAGGAGGTTTTACAGTGGGTAGGGGATGTGTAGATCAAGTGTTTACATTGAAGCATATATTTTTTTATTTTTTTTTTTATTATCACACTGGCCGATTCCCACCAAGGCAGGGTGGCCCGAAAAAGAAAAACTTTCACCATCATTCACTCCATCACTGTCTTGCCAGAAGGGTGCTTTACACTACAGTTTTTAAACTGCAACATTAACACCCCTCCTTCAGAGTGCAGGCACTGTACTTCCCATCTCCAGGACTCAAGTCCGGCCTGCCGGTTTCCCTGAATCCCTTCATAAATGTTACTTTGCTCACACTCCAACAGCACGTCAAGTATTAAAAACCATTTGTCTCCATTCACTCCTATCAAACACGCTCACGCATGCCTGCTGGAAGTCCAAGCCCCTCGCACACAAAACCTCCTTTACCCCCTCCCTCCAACCCTTCCTAGGCCGACCCCTACCCCGCCTTCCTTCCACTACAGACTGATACACTCTTGAAGTCATTCTGTTTCGCTCCATTCTCTCTACATGTCCGAACCACCTCAACAACCCTTCCTCAGCCCTCTGGACAACAGTTTTGGTAATCCCGCACTCCTCCTAACTTCCAAACTACATTCTCTGCTTATATTCACACCACACATTGCCCTCAGACATGACATCTCCCCTGCCTCCAGCCTTCTCCTCGCTGCAACATTCATCACCCACGCTTCACACCCATATAAGAGCGTTGGTAAAACTATACTCTCATACATTCCCCTCTTTGCCTCCAAGGACAAAGTTCTTTGTCTCCACAGACTCCTAAGTGCACCACTCACTCTTTTTCCCTCATCAATTCTATGATTCACCTCATCTTTCATAGACCCATCCGCTGACACGTCACTCCCAAATATCTGAATACGTTCACCTCCTCCATACTCTCTCCCTCCAATCTGATATTCAATCTTTCATCACCTAATCTTTTTGTTATCCTCATAACCTTACTCTTTCCTGTATTCACCTTTAATTTTCTTCTTTTGCACACCCTACCAAATTCATCCACCAATCTCTGCAACTTCTCTTCAGAATCTCCCAAGAGCACAGTGTCATCAGCAAAGAGCAGCTGTGACAACTCCCATTTTGTGTGTGATTCTTTATCTTTTAACTCCACGCCTCTTGCCAAGACCCTCGCATTTACTTCTCTTACAACCCCATCTATAAATATATTAAACATATATATGAACATATATGTGAACAGTATTTAGATAAAGGTAGGGAAGTTTTTATCACATTTATGGATTTAGAAAAGGCATATGATAGAGTGGATATGGGAGCAATGTGGTAGATGTTGCAAGTACAGTGGACCCCCGCCTTACGATGGCATCGCGTTACATTAAATCCGCCATACGATACATTTGAACGCAAAAAATTTGACTCACCTCATGCGGTTCGTCGGGACACGTCCCGGACGAATTGTGTGTACAGGAGGGCCCCACTTATACGGCTGGTTAGGTTCCAGGCTACCGCCGTAAAGCGGAAACTGCCGTAAAGTGGAACACCCTTTTTTTCCACTTACAAATGCATAAAAACACTAGATAACAAGTTTACACTAACATATATTAAGTTAGCAATAGAACCAGGCATCAAAAAACAATAAAAAAGTACAATACACACATAGTGCACTCATTACTTACCTTAAAATATTTATAGTCTTAATCTAGGGTGAGACAAGTAGTATTTATTGTAAGAAATCAAGTGTGGTATGTATGGTAGTCAGCCAGGCTACCATACCAGGCCAACCCACCTACACATAATCTATTACATTTAATCATCCCAGAGCGATAAAATGTATATACAGTTCACTCATTACTTACCTTAAAATATTTGTAGTCTTAATGTAGGGTCAGGAGTAAGTAAATGAGATAAAACGAATAAATGAGAGAGAGAAAGAATGAGTGCATGAGAGAGGACAGGCGCAGAGTTATGTAAACAAACCAGGCGAAGGTAAGTTTTGTAAACAAACAAAGTGTACATGTCTGGTTTGTGTACAAGTTACATTGTGTACAGGTTGTCTCTACATTGATACGGTAGAATAAATAAAGAAGAACACTCCCATTCTCATGTAACATCATTTTGAGAAGAAATGATGCTCTGAGTGAAGGCAATGGAAATAAGTCACTCTGACTTTTTTGGGTTATCCTAGGTTCTCTACACATAAGTTGTTATGTATGATAATCTATGTAACTGTATTTGTGTATACCTGAATAAACTTACTTACATACATACGAAAGGAATAATTTTCTACAGTTACCCCCAGTAACACATTTTCTCTTATTTTTAGATTAGAGAAAATGTTATTCTTGGCATCACTTGTACAAGTTATCTGGCTACCACATCTCATATTTATGTTTATTTATTCTATTGTGGGGTGTATTTATCATCTTTTTATGTTATGTATTGTGTTTATTATATAATTTTGAAAAAAATATAATGGATGGATTAATGAAAATGTGTATATTAACGTAATATACAACATTTAATGAGACTCGGTGATTATTATTATTATTATCATCATTTCTAATATGGCGTCACTTGTGCAAGTCGTCTGCTACCACATCTCATATTCATGTTTATTTATTCTATTGTGGGGTATATTTATCATCTTTTTATGTTATGTATCGTGTTTATTATATAATTTTGAAAAAATATCATAGATGGATTAATGAAAATGTGTATTTAACGTAATATACGACATTTAAATGAGACTCAATGATTATTATAATCATTACTAATATGACGTCTGGAGACATAAGACACTCTTACTGATTTTAATGTGTACCTGCATGCCAGCACAGTATGTAAGTTTATTTAAGTACAGGTATACATAAGTATAATTACCAGAGTATACATAAAATATGAAATAACTTTTAAAAACATTTGAAATTTTGGAGTTTCCAGACGAAATGGAGAGACTTAGTGCTTACTGAGCTCACGAAGAATGTAAACAAACAGGGTGGGGCGCGGTGACCGTATTAGAAAGTCAGGTGGGGGGAGCCGTACAGCGAGTTTTGGTCATAATTTGAAATGACCGTATTAGCGGAACGCCGTAAAGTGAAATGCCGTAAAGCGGGGCCCTCTTGTATATTACATGTCCATATGTGTGTGTGTGTGTGTGTGTGCATGCATGAGTGCGTGCGTGCGCATGTGTGTGTGTGTGTATGTGTGTGTGTGTATGTGTATGTGTGTATGTGTGTGTGTGTGTATGTGTGTGTGTATGGGGTGTGTGTGTGTGTGTGTGTGTGTTGTGTGTTTTGTGTGTGTGTGTGTGTGTGTGTGTGTGTATGTGTGTGTGTGTGTGTGTGTGTGTGTGTATGTATGTGTGTGTGTGTGTGTGTGTGTGTGTGTGTGTGTGTGTGTGTGTGTGTGTGTGTGTGTGTGTGTGTGTGTGTGTGTGTGTGTGTGTGTGCACATATGTATGTATGTATGTTACCTGTTCA